ACTGGAGCTCCACTGGCAAGGACGGACCATAGAGCGTTTCTCGAGACGCCTTGTCTGTGGCTGCCTTGCCGATGGCGTGGCGGATGGGACATTCGTGCGAACTGAGTGACAGCCTCATCATGCGCGGGTGGTCTAGCCACACCTTCCATGTTCGATCAACAGCTCGAGGATGGTCGTGTGCGAACAGTCACCGAGACCTTCAGAGGCTGTCGACGAACTTGAGTCCGACGACGTCGTGAAGAGGTGGTTGCGTGGAACTGCTGGCGTAAACATAGAGATTGAGCATGGCTGATGTATGCTCCGAGGGCAATGCTTCACGAAGCCGAGGACGAAGCGCCAATATGTCCTAGCTAGGCATTCTAGCGGCGGCGGTAAATCAGGAGCTGTTTGTGTCTACCAATCTCTGCCATGGTCGGAACGGTTCGGAGGCACGAGGCGGCTCCTATGGGAGATGGCAGCGAAGATGATCGAGCCGTTGTCATAGACGCTCAACTGCAAGTAAGCAATGCTAAGAATGGCCGTCATGCCTGCATGGCAAGCCTCCATGGAGCATGCCCTGGAGAAGCAACGGCTGCGCGCGTTGTGGGTCGTAGTACATCGTGTCATATCTAGGCGCATGGTGGCCGCCCAACCGGGGAACAACCTCACGATGCATCAGACTCAACACCATAACCCGGCCGCAACATCAGCTTCATGACCTCATTTCACCACGGAGACGGAGTCATCCATCAAAAAAGGAGACGCAGAAACAATTTCAGGGTCTAGGCGGGGCCCCAGCACCCCAGATCTCGTGCCAGGCGCCCCCCGTCCCAGTCCACCACTCACCACCCACGGCGTTACGAGACGTTTACGCGATGAAAACCCCCCCGACCTCACGAGACCCCCGACTGGTCCCTGATGCGGCTCAACACCTTCTTTCAACCTCGTCCCATTCATCGACGTCTTGATTTACATCTTGTTCTTGACCCTGCATTCGCGGAATTCTTCACGCAACAGCAGTTGAAATAAGAAAACCCCATCCCCCGCCGTGTGACCCGTAAAGACTCGCTGACGCCCGCAGAAACCCACGCCAAGTGGCCCCTCTGCG